TGAGCCGCAGGAGAAAACTCCCGGCTCGGCCCGTGACCTGCCCCCACATCCGCTACCGAAAATTTCCATCCTCTGAATAAGGGCACCTGTGCTGCTAGACAGGTGATACAAAGTCAGGAATTTAATGCAGCCCAGATAAATCATTTATGAAGCAAGCTAGAAGCACCGAAGACCTTGAGAGAAAAACTGTGTTGCGGGAGAAACTGAACTTGACACGTTGTGTATTAATAATTGTAAGGGAAGGGCAAACCCTTTGGCATTACAAATGTTTTTTTTTCCCAAGCATATGTGGGAGAGGGGAAGGTCTTTAAAATTAACACAATTTATTGACACTAACTTGTTAAAATGCAGCATGGCACGTGCACACTGTGCCTTCGCCTTCTTCCTGGTTGTCCTAGCGCTGGCGGGCTGCACTTTGCCTCGATTCCTCACCCTCTGTGTCACTCCTGACAACAGCTCCCGCATCCCTTGACATCACAGGGTGCAAAAACTGCAGTTTGCTCCCATGGAGGGAGTATAGAAGAACCCAGCGCCAACTGCTGAAAACAAAAGGTCTGGATTAATCTGTCCCCTCCAGCTGTATCTTAGGTTCATAAGCAGTCTATTGACAGCACAGCTGTGCTTTGTGGGCTCTAACCTCAGCCACGAAAAGATTAACTAGAGGACATAAAGATTATTGGTATGGTGATGCACAGAACAAAATGCAAGTTAAAATGCATTTTATGTATATATTTTCAGGTTTGAGTTACAGTATATGCCTTTAAACTTCTTAGTTTGGTGTCTCAGGTCTACATAAATGCAACTGTGTGATCTGTTCTCTCTTCTGTGGGATTGTTGGCCTCTACATTTGCTACACTTGCTACCTTGGATTTTATCATTCCCACACATACCCATCCCTGAAATTAAGAGAACGGGTGATAAATGTCTTGATAGGAAAAGGGTTGTGGGAGAGTGGAACAAGCTGCTCAGCCATGTTGTTAAAGCCAATACCATCACTTCTTTCAAGAATGGCTGGATTAGATACTGGGATCAATGAGCTACTCCAAGCCAACCTAGAGGTTGAAGCTGCATGGAGCACCAGTCCAAAAGCAGGCCTGGGAAACAGACAGACAGCACAGGTCCAACAGCAGGCCAGGGAAACACACAGCACTGGTCCAACAGCAGGCCCAGGAAACAGACAGACAGCACCGGTCCAACAGCAGGCCAGGGAAACACAGACAGCACTGGTCCAACAGCAGGCCAGGGAAACAGACAAAGAGCACTGGTCCAACAGCAGGCCTGGGAAACACAGTCATGGGTGAACTCTATAAATATGAAATATAAGTACTGGAATGCTGTGGAAAAAAACAGTAAAGCACAGCAGTGAGGCACATGGATATTGTAGTAAAAACACTGTGAGGCAAAAACAAAAACAAGTAAAGGCAAAGTTTAGCACAAGAGTTGTGTGGATTAAAACAACCATGATAAAAACTGCAAAAGTACAGTACTGGCTGTTAACTTTGGCAAGAGAAGAGCTTAGCCACGCCGCTGTGAGCCAGGGCTGCTCCAGCCCAAGATCAGAGACAGGGATCATCTCCTTCCGGCTCTTCCGTGACCTGGGGTGTCTGTAACCTTAAGGTTTGGCAACAACCACTGGCCTTCAGGAGGTTTTCAGCCCCCTGCAGGGTTAATTCAGTTTTGTCACCCTGGTCACACGAGGGGGGAATCTTCCTCAGAGATGGGTGGGCTGAGCTACAATGGTGATATGGCAGTAGCTCATGGACACATGTCAGCATGATCCTTAAGGAAAATAAACTCTCCAAATCTTGTTAGTGACCATATATCAGAACTGGCTGTGCTACAGTACTGACATTACAGATGCAGGAGCTCACACGCCAGTGGTTTACACCTTTTTTGGCCTGACCAGTAAAACGATAGGAGACATCCAAGGAAAACAAGGATTCTGCTCTTAATGGTGTTGGTAGACCAGTAGGTGACACAGAATTTTGATCCAGTGCTCCAGTGTGGTGACCAGGGACACAGTGTTGTAGGAAGTTCCAGCCTGCAGATGAGACCTTAAACTGAGGTCCTGATTACTCAGGCCGTTAAAGACCCTCTGACACTGCTTGTAAGGGGAAGGGTGTTAACTTCAGTCTCCTGGCTAAATTCTCATCTGGGCTGCACAGATTGGCCTCTCTATGTTCTTTCTAATGGGCGACCAGTACCTCAGACCAGGTTTAGTTCTGCCTCTATGCTAAGTGTAGCCATAATAAGTCTGAAGTGCTTATGAGAAAACAAAGCTGTTCATGCAGCACACTGTGAATTATTTTGTTTACTGCCCGAATGATCTCTGGCAGAATGGCCATGGTGGCTTTATCGCTCTGGACGAACATCATAGAGCTCCATCTCGGTTGGCATTTGATAAACTCAGAGAGGACCCAGGTGAAGCCCTGAGTCCTGAGCCTGGGGTGCCCCATTATTCAGCCTGGACTATTCTTGGTCTTTATATTATACCCAGTGAAAAACAAATGCAGTTTTTATGCTTCACCTGCAAATTCAACAGTTTCCAAGCACAAATGAATTTTGACCACTAAAGCAGGTGATCCATTCATTTAAGCAGAGATCATTGAAATATCCCAACACCCTCTAGCTCCTAAGGACAACATTTGTTTATTCCTGGATTAACTGAAACAATTACATTAATTTATCAAAATATTTCAGAGGGGCATTTGGATTAAATGGTTTCTGGAATCGTAAAGACGGATTCCAGTCAGAATCAGATCTCATCTGGTACTGGAGAACAATTATTTTTAACTCATTCTTTCATCTGATTTCCTAGTCTTCCCACATTCTGGAATGGAGAAAGCTCTCTGTGCAGGAGGCAGGATGCCTCATGAGAACACTCAGATGCTCGAGGGCGAGGTACTGTGACGTCCCAGTGACGTGCTCAGCTGAGTGAGAGCGCACAGCGACTGTCACAACTCTTGCTTTCTGAAGCAACAGCTGTCCTCGAATATTATTCTAGCATGGAGACCGTCAGGAAGAACATTTGCTCGTTGGGAGGGGAGGGGGGGTTGTCCAGCAGCAGTTTTTTTTGGGAAATCTCTCCCAAGAAGAGAGAAAATACCATCAGTCTTTTCTCAGAATTGAGACAGATGCTAATATGAAGTCTTGGCATCTTCAGCTTTTAATTAGTAATAATGCCTGTGTATGAATTTGAGCTATTTTCAAGCCTCCATGAATTAGTCAAGATACAAGTGGCTGATGCAGCCTTCTGCTTGGCAGTGGGCGCAGTTTCCCTGTCACCCCCCGCCCTCCACTCCGGCTTCCTCTTCAGGTCTGCAGAACTGGGGGCTGGGTACCATGGGAAACCACGGTAGACTGCTGTGGTGCTTGAGTGCTTCAGCCCCAGCTTTTCTCGACATCACTTGAACACGCTGTTACACTAGGCCCGCGTGGCTCAACCTGGGCACCAGGATTCCAGGCCATCACAGGGCTTCTTCCCCTCTAGTAAGTGAAGGACCGGATTGATCTTTAATTGCTTAATTCACCCAGCGGCGGCAGATCACTTCAATAATTAAGGATTAGCCTGCCAATGACTTGCCATGGCCTGGAGCTGAGATTTGTCTAGAGGACAATTTATTTTTCCAGCCACACACTGGTCCCCCTATCCTTAGGTAACTCTGGGATCAACTGTGATGACAAAGGAGGGAAAGTGGAGTGTGAAACGCATAAGACGAGTTGTGTGAAAGTATGGCATCCCAATGCAGGTTCCCCCACCAGACAGGCCTGAAATGGGACAGCACAATGGAACTCCTCCTTATATTCACTTTTACAAACATCACCCACAAACTCAAATTATTTTTCTCATTCTTAACGTTTTTGAGCACAAATGAAACAAATCTATCAAAATTTAACTTTGTGACACAGCCATCAGCCTCTTCTTAAAAAGATGCTTTTTCCCCTTTGGTTTCATGCAGCTAAAATGCATCAGCTGAACCGATTTTGATGGTCACTATAATGAGTCCCCATAATCGCAGGGGGGCATAAGGTTCTCTAATAACCCAGACTGGGCAGCAGCAGTATGGGGGGGGGGGAGTGGCGGAGGGTCACGTTTCCGTGACAACGGCAACAGCACTCGCACTATCTGTGCGGAAGAAAGGCCTGGAAAACTCTATGGATAGTTACAGTGGAACTTTCCATGGGGTCGCCAGGAGTCGACACCGACTCGACGGCACTCATCCCATCCCATCCCATAATGAGTCCCATTTCAACAACAGTCTAAAATGTACACAAAGCAGAACTACCTCCTTATCTCTTATTTATGATATATAAACACACAAACATCAGAAGTATAAGCAGATGAGATGTGGGCACACAGTGATCGTGACCTATAGCTCGTGGTCCTTATGGGGGCTAAAAGGAAACTACAAACAGAGCTCCTCAGTCTCAGTTCGATTGCAGCCAATCAACCAGCAGGCAGAAGAACATAAACTGTAATAAAATGAATTAAAAACACATGCAGTATCATAGTAATAAAAAATATATATATCTGATCAGATCTGATCTGAACAAAGAGGATATTTTGCTTGGGCAAGCCACCCAAATGAACTTCATTTCTGAAGAGTACAGCAGCAGTGCTCCATCTTTGAACCTGTAACCCTTTAAAGGAGAGTCTGGATCCCTGAACGCTATTTTACTCTGCTGCCTGACCGGTTGCACCCTCCTGTAAATCTTTACAATAATAATTCCTTACGTATACACGTATATAGTGATTTTCTGGACACTCCACTCAAAACGCTTTACAGGCAATGGGGACTCTCCTCCACAACCATTAATGTGCAGCCCCACCTGGATGATACAATGGCAGTCAAAGTGCACCAGTACGCTCACTACACATCACCTATCAGTGGGGAGGAGAGCAGAGTGATGAAGCCAGTTCACAGCTGGGGATACTAGACTTAAGAAACCTTATAGACAGTAGTATTAAGCAAAAAACAGTTAAATAAAACTCCCAAAACCTCACTTACTGTTTTTTTATTTTTTTTGCTTCACAAGATAAATAAATATGCTTCCTATGTTTAATCAAATTTCATGTTTCAAATAATATATTTCTCAAGACTGAAGACTTGACACATTGGGTGAAGAATCGTCTCTAAATAAACGTGATGAGTTGGGTGTCAAAATGCTGACAGTACCATTGGCGCCCCCTGTGTGTCCAGACAGGTGAGGACAGGGACCAGCTGGGACCTGTACAACTAATAGGACATGTGGTCTCATGACAGGTTAGTAACACAAAGACAAAGACATTTTGTTTGAAGGAAGAATACAACATTAGAACAGTAAAACAAAAGCCAGAATATGAATGAACAACTTTTTCAAAAGCTTCAGGACTATTTAAATTTCTTTGAACAAAAATACATGATTTTGACCTTGCACTATTTAGTGAGCCATAGCAAAAAAATGAGTTATGTTTTTTCCATTTTTAACCAGATGCTTAGTACCTTAAAACAAAGCACACCCCCCCTCCAAAAAAAAAAAACAGACAAAAGTATATCATCAGTAAAAGAGGTAACAGGTCAGACTGTAGGCCATCAAGCCAAAGATTCTCTGCATTTTACCACACGCTAAAGCTAACTTGGATTGTCAGGTGCAAAAAAAAATATTCTTTAAAAAAGGGAAGATTTCTCTGTTTTCTTTTTTAAAAAAAGGGAATGTAAGATTTTACTTTAAAATAATGCCCATTGCTAGACACACCTTCAGAAAGTAGAACCAAGGAAAAGAACAGAATTTACAATCCTTGCGGACTCCAAAGCCAGAAAACAGAAAACTGAAATACACAACGTGGGCTTCAGAACAGAGCAGGCTGGAAAAGGTCATGGTACACACTCCCAGCGACCCAGCTTGAGGAGGGATTCTGCTCCTTGAAAAGCCCCTTTCAGACCAGAATTGGGAATACCCGACTTAAAACAGAGGAGCAGGCCCACGGTCATCCAACATCAAACTGAGGTTCCTCAAAGGCATTATTAAACACCCCACCCCACCCCCATGCCCCATCCAGTCCCAGCCCTGCTCTCCTCTCCCCCATCTCCCCACAAACCCGACACACACCAGGAAACAATAACCAGAACGAAAGAAAAACACGCAAAATTGAAATGCACCATCATCGGTCATCGGCTACAACACCTCGGCCTTGGGAGACGGCACGGGTCTTATGCAGTTGTCCGATATGGTAAGGTCACTGTTGAGATGGTGCTGCTCCAGGAACTCCGAGGTCTCCTCCACGATTTGGCCTGGTATCCGAAAATCGATGGCCGCCTGCTGCTGCTGCAGCGTGGAGTGGCACTGGTCCCGCTTGGGGCTGGAGGTGGTGTGGGAGTGGCGGGCCTCGAGGTTGCACCCGGTGCCCTGCAGGAACTGCAGGAAGTTCTCCTCGATGGAGCCCTCCTGGCTGGGCAAGCGGAGATCCTCCTCCGTGGCGTGCTTGAAGAAGCAGGTGAGGTGCTTCCCCAGCTCCTCCCGGATCTGCCGGTTCAGGCAGCCGTAGAAGAAGGGGTTGGAGGTGAAGCAGAAGTAGCCGATCCAGGTGACGATGCTCTCCAGCTGGGCGGCAGAGGCAGGCTGGGCGGCCGCCAGGACGGAGTACAAGTGGAAGGAGAAGTAAGGCAGCCAGCAGAAAAGGAACTGCCCCCCGACTGCCACCAGCACCATGGCGGCCTTGCCCCCTCCAAAAGCCCGCTGTGGGGTGGTCCGCGGAGCACCAGAACTGGTGACCATGGTGGAGCGGCTGCTGAGGGACTCCGACCTCTGCCGGGGCGTATCCATCCAGGTGGGCAAGGGCCCGTGGTGCATGGCGGCCACCCGGGCCACTTTGAACATGCTGCAGTACACCACCAGGATGATGAGGACCGGGCAGAGGAAGTAGAAGAGTGTGAAAAAAATAACAAAGACCTTGCGGTTGGAGCCCCCGCCCGTCCAGTGAAGGGAGCAGTGTCTGGGTCCGGAGACCGGGCCACCTCCTCCGCCATCTTGGAAGGGGCTGACCTCTTGGGAGGCCCAACCCAGCATGGGCACAACGGACATGATGATGGCTTTGATCCAGACGCAAACCAGCACGGACGCCACCAGGCCCATGGTCATCTTGACCTCATAGCGCATGGGGTGGACGATGTAGTAGTAGCGCTCGATGTTGATGGCCGATATGGAGAGGATGGAGGCGCTGATGAAACAGATGCTCAGGAAGAGGTAGCCGCGGCACAGCGCCTCACTGAAGAATGCCCGGTCGGACAGCATGCCCAGAGGCATCAGGATCAGGGCGGCCAGGAGATCCACCAGACACAAATGGAACACGAAGGCGAATTTCCGCAGCTGGGGCGTCTTCGCGATCACCGCCATGACCGCCATGTTGCCGACGACGGCCAGCAGGTCGACGAGGAGCATGAAAAAGAGCGCTACGGACTGGGACACCACGCTGCCTTCGGCGGGGACCAAGCTGGCGTTGCTGGGATGCACCAGGAGGCGCTGGGAGTTCTGGAAGAGCAGGTCAGTCTGGGAGGCGTTCCTCGAGGCCCAAGGGGTGCTGGATGCTGTAGGCTCCATCGGTGACAGAAACGAAGGGACCAAACACTGAGGCTCACTGGCCCATCACCCATCCTCCTTCCAGCCAGAGACGAGGCCCGGAGCCACACTGGGGGTCTCAGCCAGAGAGGGCAGCCGAGTGAGGCTCGGTAGAGCGGGGCGAGGCAGCAGGGGGGACTGGCAGGGTGGTACAGGTTCAGCACATGGAGAGCTAGAGATCCTGACTTCTCAGACAGGGCTGCTGGCCAGTCCCTCATAGACACAGATTAGCCCGTGAGCCCTAGAAGACCCTGGAAACCTCACAGCTGGGGATCACTCAGTCGAATCCTCAGTCTTCTTCTCTACCTCACTGTTTCCAAACGTATCACACCCTTCTTTGCTGGCTCATTTTCTTCTGAGTTGAAACTCACCTAGAAAAGAACAAAAAACAAGCAGTTGTACACATCACATCTTCATCTTGGGAAATCCATTGCATTGACACTGCAATGGGTTTATAGCATTCATTTTTTAACAACATGGCATGCTGACAACACAATGGGAAATAGCGTTTGAAAAAAAGATTTTTTATGCAGAAAACACCACATAATAGCTCCGCTTTGTACTATGGCGTCCACCCAATTTAAAATTCTAAGGCATGTGTTATCTTTCCTGTCTCTGATAGTGTAGGATGCACCTGGATCAGATGAAGTCTCTCCCTCTATGGCACTTTCTGCAATGGGCTTCTGTCAGCCCCTTTAGAGCCAGAGGTGGCCTTGGAATCTTCAGCCTAATAGACAGGTAGTGCAGCAAAGGACTTTAGACCCAGAACAGAGCAACACACACACAACCCTGTTATCACATCCCAGGCTCCTGCATGTTCTGTGGCACTAATGCACTCTCTGACTTGAAGAAAAAAAAAAGCAAAATAAAATGTGTTCATTCCTCACACCTGGTAACAGAGCACATGTGAGAGCACAGTTTCTGAGGGGGTGCATGTCAGTGCCAACGGAAACATGGCTCCCTCTTGTTATTTCCACACTCCTGCTTCCTGGTCGCTTGGTTTTCTTTCCCACTTTCTGAGTCCCTGAGCTGAGGCATCCAAGGGGAGACAGATACAGCCTGCAGGCTCACGGTGACCAGGCGTGGCAAGCTGGGTGTCCCCTATGGCTGTGCATAGGCAATCCTGCAGCACTGCCAGAACAATGGAGCTCAGCCGGTGCTCTGAGACAATGTCCAGACGGCATGCGATACCCAGGAGGGAAGTCCCCGAGCCTGCACACTACAGAGCAGCTGCAGCTCTGGACGACACCACAGACACTGAATCAAGTCACCAATGACCAACAAGAAGATGGCCTCGGCCATGATGACACGTCACCATGAGCACACAGATCTACACAGTGTGAGGCAGTGAAGGTAATAACCAGTGTCAGGCTGGCTTGGCAGAGCTGTGCTCATCAGAATCACTGATGGCTGCTATAACTACTGCACGTGGATCTGTAGAGCTAGGACACCTTTAGCCAGTTCCTTTAAGAAGCAGAGCTACTTTGAAAACATGATGATGAAGCTAATAATGATGATGATGGATTATCAGCAGGAGGCAAGGCTACATAGTGGTACTGTATTTAGCCAGGTCATTCCAGCAATAGCCTCTAATCAACAAGGAAATATACAGAGTGCTGTTTTTGATAAGCTGGCCTATACATCTTTTTGATGTTTTATTACCTCTTTTCTCAAACACCGCAAGGTTGCACATTTATTCAACAAGGTCAACTTCAAGACAAAACAATATTATTTACATTCCAGGAGTTGGCAGCAACATTAGCACCTCACAGCCTGATCTTGTCATTTTTCAGCAGCTCAGAAAGGCCTGGCCCGATCAGTAATGGGATGGGGGACTTCCAGTGAAAAGCAGGTGCTGCCATAAGATGTTTTGGTGGACCAATAGGAGGCGCTCCTCCTGCTGGACCAGAATTCCCTATGCAATATCCCACTATAGTAACATCGGACACTCTGTTGTAGGAGGTGCTGTCCCTTCGATGAGACATTAAATTGAGGTCCTCACTGCTGGGTCATTAAAGATCCTACAGCACTGCTCTTCAGGGTAGGAGTGTTAACCCAGGAGTCCTGCCTAATTTCTTAAAGTTAGAAAATTATAACTGATAGCTTAGGTAGAAGCAGTTTCCATTCATCACACAGACATTTTACCAGTCAGTTTGATGTACCAGTATCTTCGCTTTTCAAGTTTTTATTCACGCGGGTTTACAACTCCATTCCTCAAAATATAGAAAAAATAAGTGGTGTGCACAAGACAAATAATGTACTGCACGCTGGCCAAAGTGCCAAGTTAAATAAGAGGCTGTCTAAATGAAGCTGAGCCTTGTGCTGCCCCGATCCGTAACGAGCAGGAAATAAACCCTCAGAGAACTGTCCTTACAGAAAAAAATAATGTGCGCACACACACACGCAGGCCTGTCTTGCTCTTTGTGGGCACATCCCATCGACTCTATCTATTTTTATTTACTATTCCAGTCTCCACTCACCCAGAGCTCCACAGGGGTTAAAATAGACCCAAAACAAACATCCCTGGCTCTTGCAGATTTAAAGATTTAAAGGAAGATGTAATCAGGTTTATAAAACACAGCCGTTCACATCTCAGGGACGGCCCCACATCACCCGAACAGCAGAAGTCACTGGCTCTGTGGGGTATTTTCTCAGATTTTGGTCGCATAGATAGTAAAGCACACACCCCCCACCCCCCACCTGCACCCTTCAACACTGAACACACACACAGTCCTGTCAGCCCTACACGCATGAACTTCAAACTTCAATCGCACGCCACAGGGCCACCCTGCTGGGCTTGGAAGCACAGTCCTGCAAAATTCCAGTGAGGGAAAGGTGGTGCTATTTTTACCAGCCTGCCTCCTCCCCACCTCCTCTTATTCCTCTGCACCCTGGACCCCTGTATGCTGTGGTTTTACTCCACCCCAGGGGCTGAGGAAGGTGATGGAGAGGAAGGGCTTCAAAGCTGTCCAGGCAGAAATCCTCTGCACGTGCACGACAGGAGCTGACCGCACTCCCTCAGCACAACAGCAGGGTCCCCCGATTCTAAATCCCTAGGGGTCCTCCCCTCTCAGGAAGGCTGGGCTCCAGACCCCACATCCAGTTTGACCCCATCTGAGTGTGGCCTGGGCTACGGCAGCACCAGGGTGAAGAACAGCACAGGCACACCACAGAAATAAAACCTGACAATTCCACCAACAGTGTGGTCAGCTTTCAGCAAAGGTTTCGTCCCTTCTGCACTGAAAAGGATAATCACTCTGTCGCTCACAGACACAGGGAACCCCCCCTGCAAGCCGCAGATTGACCCAGAATTCCAGGGCTCACGCTCATTCTCCTAGTCCTCCAACCTGTCATGCACCCCGAAAACCAGTCACCTTTGACCCCCAAATCCCACCATGTCTGGGTCTGCACCTTCCGTCCCAGGCAGCAGCCACCAGGTACTCCCCCCATAACACAGCACTCTGAGGACAGGACATTGCTTTCCAAATCCACCGACTCTCCGTGTCACCCCCCCCAGAACACATCTTTTTGTGTGGGGGTGGGGGTGGAGATTTTTCTCTAATTTTTCTCTACCCAACTATCTTTTCAACAACCACCATCCCACCTCTCCTCCTCTTCCTGTCCTTTCTGGTGTGACAGCACCTTCACTATGGCACTGAACTGGAATCAGTAGCAGACTCACAAAGCCTCACTGCCTGCAAAGGAAAAGAAAAGCTGACCAAAATCTATTTTTTGGTACATCAGAGGAACAGCTGTGAGATTGCCCCCGTCTTGGTGATGCTGGACTCAATAATGGGTGTCCCCCTCTATCTCTCCCTCTCCCTCTGCAGATTTCCGGCTGCACAGCAGCACAACCTGCCTGGCTCGATTTAGCCCACCGAGCGGATCTCACCTCGACAGCCACGGCTCCTGTCTTCCCCCCTCGCGCCAGGATGGCTGGTGTGCTGCAGGTGCAGCTGGAGACAGGTCCCTCCACTGGAGCCTGTGCACAGACACTGCAGTGAGGGAAAGAAGGCACACAGGCAGGCGGCAGCACCCGCCGCTCGTGCTGCCCTGGGTCCTAGTGGCCCACAACCTCGAGTCCCCGTTTTCTCTCCCTCTCAGTTCCCAATTAGCCTCACTGGCATGGTGTTCTACGGGCTTTGCCAGAGCACTGACACGCGTTGCCCTGGTGTGATTGCAAAACGCATGGTAGGATTACAAGCAAATAATAAAAATATGTTGCCATCAACCTGACTTCACTCTCATATGTGACCATGTCATAGCACAGCGAACCGTTCCCCCTTGAGAAAGCCTTTTCTAAAGGTTCACACTGTTGTTCGGAAAGTAGGAGCTGGTTAGCCCCTGTAACACGCCTGCCTCCTGCCTGCTCCTCCCTCTGAGACAGTGTTCGCCCTGTTCCCCCCTGTTCCCCGACTCCCTGCTGTCCGTGTATCCAATCCCTTCAGGGGACCAGGGCATCAATGTAGAAATTAACATGAAGTGATTTAATATAGAGAACCAGAAACCCATTCACTTACACAAAGGGTTGTGGGTGCTTGGTACATGCTACCTAGTGCAATCTTTAAGATGACATCCTTTAACCTTTAGAAAGCAGACCCTTGTATCAATAGCCCACTACCAACCAAATAAACCAATAGCCAAGCATTCAGAACCTCAGCTGACCATCTCATCTGAAGGGAGGCACCTCTTACAGCACCTGTAGTGTTCTCCTTCACCATGCTGGGGCATCGCTTTGGAAATTCTGGTGCTGAGAGAACGGCACCACCTACTGTTCCCCAGCAACACTTACAGCTGTAACCTGGTTTTCCTTACAGGACACCCATCCCAGTACTGACTGGGACACAGCAATAATAATAGATTTTGTAATAGCATTATAAATATGCTTTACATGGCATCACTGTAACTTATTTCTATTACTCGAATGCACAACTGAAATACATGGTTTTGTCCTTTCTGAGCATCGTCCTTGGAATCACAAAACCCTGCTAATATACATATTTATTTCTAAGGACACCTTTCTGAGGTTTGACATATTTTTATTTCCTTTTTGTTTAATAGTTTAGTGTGCAGGATTGCACTCTGCGGTTACTGTGATAACAGGTGCCAGGGTCAGGCGCAGCCAAGAGCCCAGAGCCCTGGAGTCAATGTGCTGGAAGTGGAGGAAACTGCTGTTCCCAAGAGAGGAAAGGAATCCGGTGTCAGATCCCACCAAGGTCACTACCTGACACAATTTCCATGCAGTCCCTTGTCACTGATAAAACCCTACTGCTCCCGTACAGGAAGCGCAGAGCACATCTGACGCTGACCAGGGCTGCGTCTCCTCTGCCCACTCTCTCCCAGCAATTGGAGTTTCGCTCCTGCCCTGGGGTGACCTCCAGTCTTCCAGGATGGCAGGGGAGTAATCGGCTCTGGGGAGTCTGTGACCTCATGGGCAGCACTTTCACAGGCAGGG